TTTACCAACCATAAAACTTTTCACAACACCAAGAACACTTGTCTTTGGAACTTTAAAACTCTTAACAAACACACGAAGCACTGGTAAAGATACTGTAAAAACATTCGTCGGACGTTAACGGTATAACACAACTTCAGGATCACTGATAACTATGACCTAGACATTTGTGGCCCTAAAGAGGGCCGTTGGGTTATTGTGATGCAAAGCCTCCCGGAAAACCGTTCAGATCTACTTAGAACTGGTGTATTTTGTAACAGCCTTGGTGCCTTCCGACACTGCATGCTTCGCAAGTTCTCCAGGCAAAATGAGCCTGACTGCAGTCTGGATCTCGCGAGATGAAATTGTGGACCTTTTATTGTACTGGGCAAGCCGGCTAGCCTCAGCAGCAATCCTTTCGAAAACATCGTTGACAAAAGAATTCATGATTGACATCGCCTTCGAAGAGATTCCGGTGTCAGGGTGGACCTGCTTCAGAACACGATAAACGTAGACCGAGTAGGACTCCTTTCTCCGATTTTTCTTCTTCTTGTCGCCAGTTCTCGGCTTTTGGGCCTTGACCGCTTTTTTAGCACCTTTTGCAGAAACCTTTGGAGGCATGGTAGACGTTGATGACTGCTAAAACAAACACCAATGACACGGATGGCAGGTGCAAACTTGCTATTTATAGCACATATACGCCTAAGGACCGCCCCTCCGCTAGGCAATGGCGCCACTAATTTGGCGCCCGAATGGTAACCGACCAGAGCTCAAAGTTCTGCAGGTAAACTACAGAAAATGACAAGTAACAACCACACATCATTGGTGAAATTTGAACGCTTTTCGCGAACCAAGAGTACAGCTATTCCTTAGTTTCTTCTGGGTTTTCTTCTAACATTTTCTTTTAAACTAAAATAAAAAATATTACTTTAGAGAGTTCCTTAGAAGCGGCAACCGTATACCCTGTATTACTGTTCCTTGGTTCCTCTACATATTCACCTTAGATTTAATTACAGTTATTAACAACGGCGTTAAAGTGATAACGAACTTATCGGCAGTGCTAATGACATCGCCGCACTTAGTGGGTAAAAGGAAGATTGGCGCCCAAACAGAAAAGGGCGGGATCGTTTAGGACCACCCCTCTTCGTAATAGCTGAGTATATAAGGATCCGTCGAACCGATCTTCTTATTGCGCTCTTTTTCGTGCAGAGTTCGTGGCGGTCATAAATTCAACAATGTCTGGACGTGGCAAAGGAGGTAAATCCAAGTCTGGAGGTAAAGCTAAGTCTCGTTCGTCGAGGGCTGGACTGCAGTTCCCCGTCGGTCGTATTCACCGAATGCTCCGCAAAGGTAATTATGCGGAACGTGTAGGTGCTGGCGCTCCTGTCTACCTTGCGGCTGTTTTGGAATATCTGGCTGCTGAAGTCCTTGAGTTGGCAGGCAATGCTGCTCGAGATAACAAAAAGACTAGAATCAACCCACGACATCTCCAGTTGGCAGTCAGAAACGACGAAGAGCTGAACAAACTTCTGCAAGGTGTGACCATCTCGCAGGGTGGTGTTTTGCCAAACATCCAGGCTGTTTTGCTACCTAAAAAGACTGCGGAGAAACCATGAGCACACCGAGTGTATCTCGTTATGAGCTCTTCTAATATAACCCAACGGCCCTCATTAGGGCCACATATGCATGAATCAAATTTCCCAGGATCTCTGCTTTGTATTTTCTATTCTTTCTTTGTTCTTTTCTTTTTTCAGAAGTTTTTTTTTGAGACGTTACACCGTCTTGCGTTGTACTGGCGTCTGTGGATTCCAGATCGGGAAAGCTACAAGAAATCCGCTGGAAATGGTGGGTTTGGTGGAGCTGGGTGTCCTACGGGTTCCCGTAGAGACGTCTTGATAACCTAAGGCAGAACGGTGCAGTTATGGTCAGGGGTTAGAAGTGTAAAGTTTGTTCACCCAGGTTTGCAGTCGTTGTGGGCTTTACGTGACAGCAAAAGCGGCATCCCCGTGGGGGTCCACAAGCTTCTGTCCTGTCCGGTAATAAAGCTCGGAAATCTAGCTCTCGGAGGCTGCCAAGGATAAACAAACTGTGCCGCGATGTGACGCTGCCTTCGAGCTTCCCGTTTTTGCCTGCTTGGTTGTTTCACTTTGCATATTTAGGTAACTGCGTATTCCAACTCTTGTTGGCCCCGTGCCATACGCCGGATGCTTTCACACGGAACTTGGCGAGTGTGCCAACACCCACCTGGTGTCCACAGGGTCCCAGCGTTGGCTTGAAGGAGAGGACGGGGCCGCAGCTCCATGAACACTGAATCTTACGTGCGGTGTACACCACGTACCCTTCCGGGCCATCAATTGGGCATTCGGGTACGTCGAGGACGAGAACAAATGCTGCGCAGACCTACTCGTATTATTACTCTTGGAAGGAACTTTATCTTCAACATAAGAAAAAAACGAACCGCAACAACACGCACCAAAAAAAAAAACGAACAAGACCAAAGAAATAGAAGCAAACCCTGGGTCATTTTAAATTCTTTTAACACTCCACAAGCAGCCCTCTTGAAATACAGCAAAA